GCAAGAAGCTCAGGAAGCGATTAGAAACTATGAAAAAAGCTGGAGAAAAAGAAGGCAACAGCATAGAGTAGGGCAGCTGGCCGCCACCACCACCACCACTGGGCACAGTGATCATGTCTTCACCTATATATACATCTGTCTTGACCACACTTGTGGTTACATATGTGACAACCTCACCACTAATCATAGATAAACACAAGCTAGGTGTGGGGCTATGGACTGGGAAGATACTAGAGTGGGAGAGTAAATGGCGGATGCTTTCTGCTGCTGCCGGCGTCGGCATCACTTGCCATATTATGGCCTGTTTTATTCATTCTAGAGTACGTAAATATCATGTTTCTATGTTATTAATATTGTTTACTATGTAATATTAGATAAATTGTGATAGATAACTAAGCTGTAGAGTTGATATTAGCATTATTTTGTCATGCCTCCTGAGAGGCTGGAACGGATTAATTGCATTTAAATTAATTTAAATGAGAAAAATTGACTCAGCATACAAACAAATCAGGATACGAACAGGTCACAGAATGGATTAAATTCCTAAGCCGAGGTTCCACTGTATATGGAATAGGTAGTAAGTTACAAAAGTCTGTAAAGCTTTTATGACAATAGGGAGGCTTAGGTTAGGGTGTGTAGGAGAGAAGATTTGATTACCCGGTGGGTAATCAAATACAAAATGGGAGTTGACATAGTTGCTTTTTACTGATGATACTGTGCTTTTGGGGGTTTCTAAAAAAAAGTTGCAAAGGTTAATGGACGAGTTTGGGAGGGTGTGTAAAGGTAGAAAGTTGAATATGAACATAGATAAGAATGAGGTAATGAGGGTATCAAATGATTTAGATGAAGAAAAATTGGATATCACATTGGAGGGAGGGAGTATGGAAGAAGTGAATGTTTTCACATGTTTGGGAGTTGACTTGTCAGCAGATGGGTTTATGAAGGATGAGGTTAACCATAGAATTGATGAAGGAAAAAACGTGAGTGGTGCAATGAGGTATCTGTGGAGACAAAAAAAAATGTTATCCATGGAGGCAAAGAAGGGAATGTATGTGAGTATAGTTGTGCCAACACTCTTATACGGGTGTGAAACATGGGTTGTAAATGCTGCAGCAAGGAGGCGGCTGGAGGCAGTGATGTCCTGTCTAAGGGCAATGTGTGGTGTAAATATTATGCAGAGAATTCGTAGTGTGGAAATTAGGAGGTGTGGAGTTACTAAAAGTATTAGTCAGAGGGCTGAAGAGGGGCTGTTGAGATGGTTGTTCATTTAGAGAGAATGGAACGAAGTAGATTGACTTGGAGAGTGTATAAATCTGTAGCCCCGAAAAGGTTGGAGGGAGAGGGTAAAGGAGGTTTTGTAGGCGAGGGGCTTGGACTTCCAGCAAGCGTACGTGAGCTTGTTAGATAGGGGTAAACGGAGACGAATGGATTTTGGGACCTGATGAGCTGTTGGAGTGTGAGCAGGGTAATATTTTGTGAAGGGAGTCAGGGAAATTGGTTAGCCGGACTTGAGTCCTGGAAATGAGCAGTACGTGCTTGCATTTTAACCCCTTAACTGTCCAAATGTAGATCTACATTTTCTTGCCCAGTGCTCCGAATATTTTGAAAAATAAAAAAATAATTTTTTTTTTTTAAATGAAGAGGACATTTTTTTTACATAAAGTAATGTAAAAAAAAAAATTCTAGAGTCAGTATTTACAGAGATATAAGGCCACAAAGTCGGCACTTGTCACTCATCTGACGGCAACATGAAGTGCTGCCACTTGCAGATGTGTTGCCGATATACCTTTTTACCTCATATTTTTTTTAATTTGTGTAATTTTTATGTTCTGATAATGACAATTTGTAGTAGTTCTTGTGATTTCAAAGTTAATCTTTGTTCTGGTCCTAATATTAGGTGCTGAAATAGTGCTCAAATAGACAGACACACAGTGACAGGTGAACATTTTTACCTACTTTTGTCAATACATATACACAGTATTTATAGGTCCCAGCAATGTTTTGGATACACTGGTGCATATAATAATAATTATAAGTAATAATAATATTTAGGTAGTAGGTTGGTAGACAGCAACCGCCCAGGGAGGTACTACCGTCCTGCCAAGTGAGTGTAAAACGAAAGCCTGTAATTGTTTTACATGATGGTAGGATTGCTGGTGTCCTTTTTTCTGTCTCTTAAACATGCAAGATTTCAGGTACATCTTGCTACTTCTACTTACACTTAGGTCACACTACACATACATGTACAAGGATATACGTACATACCCCTCTGGGTTTTCTTCTATTTTCTTTCTAGTTCTTGTTTTTTTTATTATTTTATTATCATCACACTGGCCGATTCCCACCGAGGCAGGGTGGCCCGAAAAAGAAAAACTTTCACCATCATTCACTCCATCACTGTCTTGCCAGAAGGGTGCTTTACACTACAGTTTTTAAACTGCAACATTAACACCCCTCCTTCAGAATGCAGGCACTGTACTTCCCATCTCCAGGACTCAAGTCCGGCCTGCCGGTTTCCCTGAACCCCTTCATAAATGTTACTTTGCTCACACTCCAACAGCACGTCAAGTATTAAAATCCATTTGTCTCCATTCACTCCTATCAAACACGCTCACGCATGCCTGCTGGAAGTCCAAGCCCCTCGCACACAAAACCTCTTTATTGTTTAATTCCTCTTATCTCCATGGGGAAGTGGAACAGAATTCTTCCTCCGTAAGCCATGCGGGTTGTAGGAGGCGACTAAAATGCTGGAAGCAAGGGGCTAGTAACCCCTTCTCCTATATATATTACTAAATTTGAAAGGAGAAACTTTAGTTTTTCCTTTTGGGCCACCCCACCTTGGTGGGATACGGCTGGTAAGTTGAAAGAAAGAAGTAATAATAATTATGATGATGATAATAATAAGTTCCCTTGAAGCCAGTGTGTGTCACTTGTCTTATCTCTTCTCTCCACTGCTGACAATGATGAGCATCGTCTTATCTAATCTTATCTCTCCGCTGATGACAGTGGTGACATTTGATGAGCCTTCGCTTTATTTTTCACTCTTACACATAAACACGATCACTATCTACATGCACAGTATAGCACTTTGTCTGGATTTTTTGGGTTATCCTAGGTAATTTACACTATGTAGAATTGTATTTACGTGTGTGTTCCCGTGAGATAGAGACAGTCAATCAGCCAGCCTGCCAAAATTACAGATCCAGACTTGTTTCTTTTTACTTAGGGCATAGGTTATAGGACATTCTGGCAAGATGACACTTTCCTCTTAAAAGGGAAGTGTTAATATGATATGACATCAGTGAATCCTTGGTGTTTGCTGCACTGTTTGCTCTAGCTGGTGCTCCCACAAGGTACTAAATGATCCCAAATTTTTTTAATACAGTGCAAACTGAGGGTTAAGACCCATTCTATGTTGACCATGCATCTTAGACCAATCGTGCCAAATTTGGAGGAAGGAAAAATAAAACGTTGATCTACGTTTGGAACGCTAGTGGTAAGAACATAGATCTACGTTTGGACAGTTAAGGGGTTTGGGATACTGGCAGTTTGGAAGGGCATCTGAACTGTCGTATTTGGGCACCTCTGCAAAGACAGTGATTATGTATGAGTGATGGTGAAAGTTTTGAATGATAGAATTTTTTTTTTTTTTTTTTCTTTTTGGGTCACCCTGCCTTGTTGGAAATGGCCGATTTCTTAAAAAAAAAAAAAATGGGTGAGCACTTTCACACAGTTTTATACTGTTCACATACAAGTGTTATTGAAGTTAACAGTAGTGTAAGACCAGTTGTTGAATAGTGATTTGCCATGCTGTAGTAATAACTCCTAACATAAAAATACGACTTCATTGACTTAAATGCTTAGTTTTTTTATTGATTATTCTATCTCCTAAGAAACAGCAACTAAATTTTAATAGCTATTTTTGGCTGCATCAGAGAAATATTAACTCTACACCTATTAATGTAATGGCAACTGGGTTTGGTCACATCTGCAATTTCATACACATTATAGTTAACTTTTGAAGAAGATTCCTTAAATGACCATTCAAGGATCTGAAAGTTTTAAGAAGCACAAGAAAAACTTTCAGCTGATTTACTAAAAATGTTTCATTCACTTTTAATCTATCAATGTTTTCCATAATTTTTGGAAAGAATAACAAATATAAAGGGGATTTTAATTATTCTAAATATTTGTAAACACCAACAAAAAGATATACAATTATATAGCAAATATGCAATAAAAATATATTAGAAATGATCATGCATAATTCAAAGTTGCATAGTTGTTGCACATCAGAAGAGTTTAGTATAAATTTGTGACAAACATTTGTGCACATCTACTCTTTTATCAAGGTAAATTTATAAAAGTAAGGTGCTTTCAGACATCATCTCACACTCAAAAGATTTTTTATTATCAATGCTCATCATAGTGAAAAAGAAAGTTAGATGAATAACAGTTTAATAAATAAATGGTAAAGCTTTAAAGCCAAAAGTATTTCTTCTGGCAAAGAAATTTATCCTTGATTGGATATATTATCAGTTTGTTTAAGTGTGATTAATACAAAGTGATAAAACACTGACAGGACATCAGCTGAAGACAGTACCTGACAAAATATACACAATTTCTCTTAACCTGTAATAAATATCACTGTCAAAGTGGTGTACCAGTTTGCATATTCCTACACAAATATTACTGTACACAAGCTCCATACTAACATGCATCATTATGGACACTTGATTTTTAAATATTTGTTTATTTTTTATGGGAAGAAAAGCCATTTTGTTTATAGAATCTGTATAAAACCAATATAAAAGAAATAATTTATTTCAGTTTTAATAACTGGCAATTACTGTATTTTTTAACACACCAAAACAATACAAATTATTAGATATTAACTACAGTAATAATGAAATAATTGGTGGATTCTCATACAAAAAAACTTTTGTTATATCTTAGTAGAATAAGTGCTATTTTTGAAAATGTTAAATTTATAGCTATCCCTGAAAAAAAAATCTTTTGATGACTTCCCTATAAAAAACAATGAAAATACATTACAATATACTCTTCTGATGATCAAGCAAAGAAAAACTGAACAGAAAACATTTCTATCCATGCAGCAAGACCTTGGGACAACCTTAGCCTACAGATCACCTTCTTCTGCAGCTGGTTCCTGTGATTCATTGGGGTTGGACTGCCGTTTAGAAAGCAACAGAAACCGATTGAGTTTTGGTATTAATAAGTATTAATACTGTTGCTCACCACATGATGAAAAATACATTCATCAAGGTGATTACAATTACATCATACTTCAAAAGAGTTCAACAGTAAATACATAATTAAAAAAAGTAATAATGCAGTGCCTTACCATTACTTACTGAAAGTCAAGTGGCAAAATATAATTAAATTTTTATATCTTGATAATTTGAATAGCACGTCAGACAATCCTAACCCTTTCATATGTCTCATACTAGAGGGATGTATTTGTAAGCTATTATATGCAATTAAATACATCTTCAATTAAGTTTTCCTTGCAGAAGTGAGAAAGCAAATAACTATAGCCCACATCAGTTACATAAATTAGTAAATAAAGATAATAACCTTTTATATATCAAAAAAAAAAATATAATTACTTAACTTTTTGCATTATTTCAAAAACTTAACATCTAATAATAAATGCTCGAATATCTGTACATTTTAACTATCAGATATATATATTAATATATTTCAAAAGGGTGATTTCAAACCCTTATTTGTAATGTACAATATACAGTAGGGCCCCAATTATTCAGTAGGTTAAGTTCAAGGCTACTGCCGGAAAGCAGAACTCCATTTTTTTCATTTATAAATGCATATAAATGCCAGATAACAAGTTTACACTAAGTATATTAAGCTAGCAATAGAACTAGGCATTAAAAAGTAAAATACACACACAGTATATTCATTATTTACCTCAAAATATTTGTAGTCTTAATGTAGGGCAAAAGGTGAGTAGTATTTACTCTAGGAAGTCAGGTGTGGTAGCCCTCCTGGGCACCCCACCCACACATACTATACTACGATGCTTAAAGCTCCATAGAGCGATAAAATGCATATACAGTAGACGCATTACTTGCCTTAAATTATTATTATAATCAAAAAGAAGCGCTAAGCCACAAGGGCTACTTACCTTAAAATATTTGAAATCTAGTGAGAGAAAGCTGGTAGGCCTACATATGAACGAATTGGTCTATGTGGTCAGTGTGCGCAATATAAAAAAAAATCCTGCAGCACACAATGCGTAATGAGAAAAAAAACTTTGTTTTTGGATTAAAACAGCAACTTTGCACTGTATTTTCATATGGTATTTATTTTTGTATTCTAGTTTTCCTGGTCTCATTTTATAGAATAGCAGACGTGTTACAGAAATTGAGATGATTTTGACTGGTTTTACAATGAAAAGTACCTTGAAATTGAGCTCAAAGTAGCAGAAATGTTCGATTTTTACCAAAGCTCAAAATTAAACAAATCATGCCAAGCGTCCAATACACGTTAACTGGTGAGTCTAATATTCTTTCACAAGTGCACTGATATTATTTATACCATTTCTACACTAATGCAGTAGTCTGCATAACAGTAAATCTTCTATTTTTTGTAAGAATAAGCGCTGTATAGCCCTTGTGGCTTAGCGCTTCTTTTTGATTATAATAATAATAATTTGTAAGAATAAAAATTCAAAGTGGAAAGCCAAAGAAATATAAGAGGGGTCTGGGGACGTGGCTAACAAGTAGAGAACTTGTTATTTTAGTGCCAGGAATGTCTGTCTTGTTTATTCTGGACCCTACTCGGAAATTGGCATCTTTTGAAATTTGTGTGAAATTGGCAAAATTGCTAAATTCTGACCACTTTATTGGATAGTTGAAATCGGTAAATGGGTGGTTTCTTGTACTCATTCAATAGAAAAAAATGTTCTAGCGAAATAGTTATGATTTTTGTCAACTAGTGCACTGGAATTGGCTGAAAATAGGGCTCAAAGTGGGCAAAATCGCCGATGCGTAAACATTGTTGAGACTGCTAACTTTGCGAGAGCATAATTCCGTAATTTTTCCATCAAATTTCATACTTTTGGTGTCATTATGATAGGGAAAACATTCTCTATCTTTTCATAAAAAAATAATTTTTTTTTTTTAAATTTGCAGACCCTGAGAACAAGTCTCAAGAGGGCCTGGGGACCCTGAAAAGGTTAATGGCATCCAGGCATCCTGCCTGGCCATTGGCACTTATACCTACTACGACATTAATCTCCCTAGAGCGATAAAATGCATATATAGTACACTCATTAATTACCTTAAAATATTTGTAGTCTTAATGTAGGGTGAGAGGTGAGTTTTATTTGTATGAAGTCAGGTTGGGAAGTATGGGTAGCCATGAAGGGCAGCCCTCACCACCCCACCCACACATAATGTAAACAAACTATATGAATGCGTCTGGTTTTCGTCACTTTACATTGTGTACAAGTTGTCTCCACATTGATACAGCAGAATAAATAAAGAGAAACACTCCCATTCTCATGTAACACCATTTTTAGAAGAAATGACACCCTGAGTGAAGGCATACGAAAGGAATAATTTTCTAGTTACCCCCAGAAATATTATAGTGACACATTTTCTCTGATCTTGGACTACAAGTCGCCTGGCTACCACAAGTCACCTGGCTACCACATTTCATATTTATGTTAATTTATTCTACTGTGGGGTGTATTTAGATGGATTAAGCAAAATGTCTATAATAACTTTTTATACGATATTTAATGCTCCTCAGCGATTATTATTGTGTTATTACCATAATTATTCTAATTATTATTAATATGGCATCTTCAAGACTAATAAGACACTCTTAGTGATTTTAATGTGTACCAACATGCCAGCAAAGTAAGTTTACTTAGGCACAGGTACACATACATATAATTAGGTATGTAGGTATGTAGTCCACCTGGCCTACATACCTACACCTACCTACATAGCTACACGATATTTAATGTGGCCCAGAGCCATATTAATACCAATGACAGACCATGTTCACTGAGTTTAATCGTTTATAACAACTACCTTTAGATGTCATCATAAACAAAGGGATAAGTTATGAATAATTCATGCTGAGAATTGTAAACAAAAGCATTATGTATTAAAGGGAGTGACGTAATGTTTTCCCTCCGCCCGGCTACCATACCTCCTTAGTATATAAACATAAAATGTTTTTATGTTATGTAATGTGTTTCTTATATAATTTTGAAGAAATATAATAGATGGGTTAATGAAAATGTCTATATTAATGTAAAATAAGACATTTAATGTGCTCAAAAGTGATTATTATTAGTACGTATTATGTAATGTTTTCCCACCACCTGGCAACCACACCTCCATAGCATATAAACAGCATGTTTATATACTATGTAACTTGTTTCTTATATAATTTCGAAGAAAATATCATAGATAGATTAATGAAAATGTCTATATTGACATAAAATTACACATTTAATGTGCCCAAGAGTGATTATTATTACATAATAGAGAGATGTGCTCGTGGTGAATGTAAACAAACCGAGTGGCCCGCGCAATATTTGAAAGACCACTTGCCGTATAGAAAGTTTTGGTCATAATTTGAAATCGCCTTATTAGCGGAACGCTGAAAAGCGGGGCCCTACTGTACCTCTCATTCATAGCTGTGCTTATTCAGGTTCTGTTCTTACATAATAGAAATAAAATAAGTAGTATGTTTGAAATACAAATATTTACCCATGTTAAGCAAAATACAAGCAAACCAATTCTATTATAAAGTATTAACACTGGTTATACTGCTCCAATCTGTCATTCAGAACCCTGGCATAATTTACAGTATTTCCATAGGTAAATGGCTACATCTACCTTAATGGCACATTTATTAAACTTTAACAAATGTGTAATTAGGCTGTCTATTTAGCTAACTACTGTCAGTAGTAGCACCAATAATTACATAGTGTTAAAATACTGTACTTCAAGACCAACCATATCAGCAAATAATTCACTTCACCTCTAGCTAGTCACAAATCATCAGTTATCTAATAAATTTATATCTCGTTATGTTTTATAAATACTTTCACTACATGTAATTGTGTAACTCTTCCAGTTCCTTCTGATTTATACCCAAAAGTTATACAGCCTCTCTTGACTTAGTGATGTACTCATTTACCGACCACTCGAACTTATGACAAGCTCTCCAACCAGTGTGCAAGCCTAAATATTATTATATTAGAGCTGATTTTCTCTATTCTGTTTATTACAGTACACAGTACACTAAGTGTAATAACATTTAAAATTAGAGTAGGGCCCTGCTTTATGGCATTTCACCATATGGCATTCTCCTAATACTGACATTTCAAATTATGACCAAAACTCTTTATACAGCTCCCCTCACCTGTCTGTCTAATATGGTCACCATGCCCCACCTGGTTTGTGGACACTCTCTGTGAGCAACGCAACTCTCCATTATGTCTGGAAACTTTCCAAAATTTCAATTGTTTTAAAGTTATTTCATATTTTACATATACTCTGATAATTATACTTAAGTATACCTGTACCTAAATAAATTTACACACTGTGCTGGCATGCAGGTAAATGTTGAAATCACTAAGAGTCTTATTAGTCTTGAAGATGCCATATTAATAATGATAATAATTATTTTTTTTTATTATCACACTGGCCGATTCCCACCAAGGCAGGGTGGCCCGAAAAAGAAAAACTTTCACCATCATTCACTCCATCACTGTCTTGCCAGAAGGGTGCTTTACACTACAGTTTTTAAACTGCAACATTAACACCCCTCCTTCAGAGTGCAGGCACTGTACTTCCCATCTCCAGGACTCAAGTCCGGCCTGCCGGTTTCCCTGAATCCCTTCATAAATGTTACTTTGCTCACACTCCAACAGCACGTCAAGTATTAAAAACCATTTGTCTCCATTCACTCCTATCAAACACGCTCACGCATGCCTGCTGTAAGTCCAAGCCCCTCGCACACAAAACCTCCTTTACCCCCTCCCTCGGCCGACCCCTACCCTGCCTTCCTTCCACTATAGACTGATACACTCTTGAAGTCATTCTGTTTCGCTCCATTCTCTCTACATGACCGAATCACCTCAACAACCCTTCCTCAGCACTCTGGACAACAGTTTTGGTAATC